TTATGTAGGAACTTTACTCTCACTTTTTTTCCCAGTAAGTGTAGGAGAGGGATTTATTTTTTCCCTGTCACTCTATACAGTGCTATTGACTGTCCATGCTAACATGTGATTTCTATTATGCTGTGTATTGAGAAATACAAATCTTACTTTTACCACTTCCTAATGTTTTAGTACAGAATGAATACCTCAGATTTTAGGATATGCTGCAGAAATTCCTCCTCTCTTCCTCTTTGCAAGGTTTTTAAGATGAGGTAGGGAAAATGACACAGAGGAATTTCTAATACTTGACAAGTTTTATATCTTGAATTTTAAATAATGGACAAATGCTTCTGTGCTGTAAGCCATTTCTTGCTAATTCAAATTAAATTAAATAAAACTACATGAAATTAAAGTTAAATCCTTGTTCCTCATGTTTTGGGGCTTTTTTCCCCCTTTTTCCTTTTTACTTTAGTTGTTGCATCTGCTGAAAGAAGACTCTGTGCTCCAAAGCATTTATAATGTGCCAGCCTCAAAAGGCTCTGGTCTCTAGGATTTCCTTTGACATATTCATGCTCAGTCATACAGTTTACAGTAAAGAGTAAGGCTAAAGGATCTTGGACAGGAAACAAAGACCTGATAAAGAATAGTGTACTTTGAATTTTCACATCTACCATGTTTTTATGAGATAAGACTTGCCTTCCTAGAAAACTGGAATGAAGTGTTTTCTGTCGCAGCAGCTGCAGTGTATTAGAGAAATACTCTTCTTTTAAATTTGCTAAGGTTATACTTCTGGCAATTTGGGGAAAATAGAATTGGTTTTCAAAATCATATCCATCAACAGTGTCTGTCTTATTTTGCACACAAGGGATTTAACCTGTGCTCTGTGGAAGAGAAAGGTGAAGCCATTTCCCTCCTTACAGTGATGGCAGTCAGGAAAGCAGTGAAATTCTGTTTCTGCTTCGTAATGTTTGCGCAAAGTGGTTAGGCTTTGGCAGATGGATGTGGATTGCATTTTGATTCTTTTCAAAAACCCGAGTCAGTATTCAGGGTGAAATTTAAGGTCATGCTGTTAGCCAGAGCAGTTCCGGTTAAACAGATCTGCTATTCACACTGACGGTGCCCCCCTTTCAATAGGGAGGAATAAGGGAAGCTGCTGAGGGGGAGTGATGACAGGCGCTGCCAGCAGCAGTGATAGTGGGTTCAGTAATTTAATAAACTGGGTTATTATGCTTTTTGGAGTCAAATGGCTGGAAAAAAACTGATGTGGAGTGCTTTTAAAATATAATTTTTAGAGCAGTTCCATACAAAACATGATTTGTGAGAAATGCACTATTTAAGTCTTTATACATTGTTGTTATAACCTTTTTTCTAAATCACCCTCATAATGAACATACAGGTAATGGTAACCCACATCCCATGTAAATAATCATTGCAAAATGTTACTGACATTCAAGGTAGTATTTTGTTCGTCTTTCATACCTCTTTTCTTTTTCCTTAAAAGAGAAGATAGTATTGTAACAGAGTTTGTAAACGCATACCAACTGGTAATACTTCACTATAGTCCATTTTTCTGGCTAACAAACTTAGCAATAGTACATTAGCCATGAAGAGAAGCAGGATCCCAGCATTCCCATTTCTTAGAAATTTATGGTGTCACTTTGCCTCTGTCACGAGGAAGTGGCTTGAAGAGCAGCTTTCCTGGCTTTCTGAGAAGTCCTCTGATGAGGACCAGGGTGCTGTGGTGGCCACAACTTCTGTCTGCAAGGGCTGGAAAGAGAGAGGACCTTACAGTGCTCCAACTCAGCTTTCCAGGAGACCAGATCAATGGTCTTAGGAATAAGCCGTGTTATGTAGGCTTCCTCCTGCCCTGCAAGCACAGCTGTGTAATATAAAATAGAAGAAGGAATTTGGCATCCAACTAGAGGATGAGATTTATGTAGGGGTTTTTTTGGGGTTTTTTTTTTTTTGCTTGTTGTAAGGATTTTTTGGTAGAGTACCAAGGGAAATTGAGAGCACATTCTGACTTCTCTCTTTTGCCATTTTTGGTCTTTGCCAATTTGGCACTTGCCAGAGGAAGACTTAATTTCATCTGGGAAAGGAACAGACTAGCTCTTGGATACTGTGGGGTGGAAGTGTCTCAGCCCAATGGTTGTTGTTCCCAAAGCCATGCCTCAAAGGAACCAATTTTTTTTTAGATTTTTTTTTTTAATTGAGAAATGAGGGAGAAGAGAGTGAGTGATCTCAGCTCTCAGAACAAGTCATAAAAATGACTAAATCATTAAAAATGACAAATCTGTATGGTCTAAACATTAATTGGGCTGAGAACAAGGTGTCCTGTATTTCTGATGATTTAAGGGAAAAGTCATAATCAAAAGCACGTAACAAACCTTCTAGTTCTAAAGACACATGTTTTTGAACTCTTCAGGCAGATTTACTTAAAAAAAATTGCTTTCTAAAGCACTTCCTAACTTTTAGTAACATTAAGCTTTTATTTTTGAAGATGTAACTGGTCATGAAACTCAGATGATCCTACCTATAAACAACATATTCAAACCCAGCTTTCAACACCCAAATGATGTCTTTTAAGGAGAGGTTTACCCAGTACTAGGCTTCTTACTACTTCGGTTCTTTTAGTTCCTTAGCGACATGTATTTGAAACTTAACGGTCTGTGTACCTGCATTAGGAATACCTGTTGAATTCAAGCATCTCCTTTAATTTAATGTAGAGATAACTGCTATCTCAGCTTTAAACTTTGCCTTGCTTATGCAAATGTGGACTTGTGAATAGAAAAAGTACATCCTTCAGGTGAGCCACACATTGAGGGCGAATGTCTAAAGTGCAGATTCTGGACCAAATGCTTTTAGACAGCTGGTTATACCCATTTCATACTTTTTCTGAAGGAAAAATCAGTAGCAGTGTGAATTCTCCTCTTAAAAGGAACCAGGCAGCTTGTAGACAATTGCAGTTAGGACCTCAGTGATCAGGAACAGAACTGCAGAAACCAGCAGATCTCCTTCTTGCAAGTTCTTGCAAGCTTCTCAAAATCATTTATGGCCTCATCTTTGGTTTCTTTGGGTCAGTTAACGGCAGCTGCTGCCTGGAGAAGGAGTAATTCAGTTCTTAGTCCCAGAACCGAACATGGGGGACATCTCAGGGCTCACGTTTGTCTGCCTGTGGTTCAGCTGTCACTGAATCAGATAGGCATCATAACTCTTCAGTGACAGATGAAACCCATTTTCTCACTTTGAATGCCTATTTGTTTGTGGCTGACAGAGCTTTTTTAGTCCTGATGAAATCAGTGCTGTCCACTGTCAGCTCTTCAGAATCTCCTCTAAACAGACACATTGAGCACAACATTTCTGGTGGCATCATCCACCTCACTACCTTTTCCCCATCCACAGGATGTCTTTATGGGTTCTCTAAACTTGTTGAAAACTGATGCACTTTCTCAGTTTGGGGTTTTTTTTTCTAATATTTGATGAATACAAGTTCCTTGCAGGAATAAGGAGTCTGACTGTCTTTTTTGGACCACCTTGTGCCTGGGATTTAGTGACAATGATAATTTGGGAAAAATATAAGCTTGTTACCTGAAGTCAGTAATCCATGAAGGAAGGCCTTCCCTCTCCTGTAGGCTTTGCTGGGGAGAAGGAGCAACTGGTCTTCAGATCAGAAAAGCCAGATGTCAGGTCCTGGCGACTAAATACTACTCCATGAGCATGACAGAAGCTGAGAGCTAGACTCAGCAGTGCTAATGATTCGCCTGCAGTGTTGTATGTAGATTTGGGTGCTGCAACTCAAGAGAGATAAGAAACAGATGCATAAAGTCCAGAGGAGAGAAATGAGTGCTAAGTGTTTCAGAAAACATAACTTTCTGAAAAGCAGAAAAATTGGGATCGTTCCATGCAAGAAAAACAGGTTGGGACAGCCTTAGTCTTCAAATATGTCTTGTTGGAAGGAGAAAAGGACAGGCGGTAGGTAAGACAAGGGGCCAAGATAGAAAAAGAAGAAAACCATTCAGGTTTGATTTTTCAACAGAAAGTATATTGAAGCACTGAAATAGCTTGCTGGGGAGATCATAGGAATATTTGAAAGAAGGTATTAGGAACAAGTTAGACAAAGGTCTGTCAGAAATCACAGAGGTATGGTTGATCCTGCCATTGTGAATAGGTTTGCGTTAGATGCCTGCTTGAGATCCTTGCATTGCCCTATTTTTTATTAAAAGTGTTTTTCATGACAAGGACCAAAATCTTTCCATTCAAAGACGGACAAGTACCTCATTCTTTGTGGTTCTGAATTGGAGAAGAAAGACCTCCATGGCATAAATCATAAAACTAAATGTTAGCCTTTTCCCCTGTGTGACATAACTCAAAAATAGATTTAAAAGGTATAGATTTAAAAGGTACTTCTAGTGTTTTAGATGCTAGTAAGCTGGAACCTCTTTTACAGTGGACTGGAGTCCTGAGGCCTTTCAGATGCAGTAGAACAGTCAGTGCCTTAAATAAGCTTAAATTACTCTTTCAGGAAGCTTAGCTTCTCTGTAAATGTTCACAGTTTCCTTTTCTACTCTGACAACCTCCCCATGAGAAATGAAGTTTTATTTTAGTCTTATATTTTACTGTATTCTAAGTATAACTATTTGAAGAATGAAACCAGTATCTTCATTTTCAGTATCTGGAGTCCTTCAAAATACTCATCTGGGCTCCCACACCCTTTCTCTCTAGAAAAGGTCATAACCATAATATTATGTAATAGTTTGAATGGCCCAGCCGTTATGCCCATCCAGTAGAATCAATCAATCATATTTTATATAATGTTACTCTGAAGATATTCCTGCGTACATTTACCTGTAATAAGAATAAAATAGAGCAAACTCCAGTTCCACTGAACTTTTTTGTTACTACCCTAATTACTTTTATCTTTTAGCCAAAAGATGCTGTGGAATTATTTAAAATGTAGTGCTTTGTAATTATTTCCAGAATAACCAAATATATATTTTTTTTAATTATTATTACTCTTTCAGGAACTGCATCTGTGGCTGGTGCAGGGCTTCTTGTCGCTCTGCGTATCACCAAGAACAGGTTATCAGATCACACAGTGCTCTTCCAGGGAGCTGGAGAGGTAGATATGAAAAAAACAACTTAAGTTACATGTATCCAGTTAACAAGATAATATGTGTAGAAGCATCACTAACATCTGGTGAAAGTTGGTTCTTAAGTCAAATGTAAACTTACAGAAAAATCTGATCATCTGATCAAGCCTTGTATTTTTCATGAGACATTTTGCAGATGTGTTCTCTTTTTAACACTTCAGAGTTTAGCTCTTCAGCTGTAAATTACTGAACTGCTCTCATTATAAATAAGCAAAACATTTTGGAAAGATGAGGAAATATACCAGGCCACCAAAGAGATATGAAATAAAATGCATTTACCAAAGTCAGTGTTATTTAGGAAGAAGCAGCGCCTCTTCGATTTTTCCTGTCATTAAATACAGTTTTTCAGTATTCCGGATGTTGAGGTCGTCCATTTCTGAAGATTTTTATGCACATTATTTTTCATACTAATTTTTCAGTATAAATTTCTAAGCCACTGACATATAAGTGAATATTGTACTTATCTACAGTGTAGGTAGCTCTCATTTCTTGTATGAAGTCTACAACCCCATGAAGACTTCCAAAAGATAATATTCATGGTCACCAAAGCCCCTTATAGGCACAATATACTAATCCATCTTTGTGGAGTCCAGATATCTTTAATCTGATTCAATAATCTGATGCTGCTGAGATGAGGTGTGTAGTTTTCAGAACAACTTGATCCATGTCTGACATGTCAAGGCCTTTGTACATCAAGACTGTCCATCTGTTTGAAGTTTTTTTCCTCTGGTTTTGCTCCATATTCAACAGGTGGATGTATCCACAGTCTAATGTTTATTTTTTTCATTCGTATTGTCAGCGTGCCTCTTGCTGCAGAGGCAGTTGTAGATATCATCCTTACTGTGGGAGCTCATTCCTAATAACACTACTTATCTCTTAACTAAAAAAGGCAAATCTTGCTTGATTCTCATTGAAGCTGAAAAATAAAGAACAAGAAACAGAATCAACTCCATAAAGATGTATATGAGTAATCAGAAACACTGAGTGATCTGTTGGCTCATTCTGTTGCCTGCTTTTCAGTCTGTACCTGTATGACATTTGATCTGCTGGATGAAATATGAAATCCAGTAAGAGTGATACATGTTTCAGCAAAGTATTGATAAGTGATTTTTTTCTTGCCCCTGCTTTCACTGGGACCACAGCCAAGTCTAGAGTTACCAAACACATGAATAGTAGGTAAAAGAAGACATACCCTCTTGATGGACATTTTCAAAAAAGATAAGAGCCAAAAGTCTTTTAGGACTGCATTTTACTTTCTGGCATGCAGAGTGTGGTATCCTTTGGTTTAAATTACCAAAAAAAACACAACCAAAAAACAAATTAACAAAATAAAATTTCAAAGAAGAAACAATAATTGACGTATTCTGAGATGATTATGTGGGGTCAATTTCATTAGAGTTTGAACATTTATTACACTCTCCATACTGTAAATACCATCTATACTATGGTTTATCTATATGATTTAAGATTTAACTATACTATTTATCTACATTATGGATTCTAATTACTAAATGGTAGCAACATTCGATCAGGGTTTATGAAAAAATAACAATGTAGTTTTATTGTTAGATAAAATTACAAAACTTAACTAAATAGTAGGTAGAGAAAACAAGTGAGCAGGAAATTTCTTTAATTTCTGGTAATGTGTGCTACTTTTTTCTCTTTCCTTCAGGCTGCACTGGGGATAGCAAACCTCATTGTTATGGCCATGAAAAAAGAAGGAATATCTAAAGATGCAGCTATGAAAAGGATATGGATGGTTGACTCAAAGGGATTAATAGTGAAGGTAATACAAATTTCTTATTCCTTTAAATATCATGATAGTTATTCACAGTCTGTAGATAAAGGCAAGAACGTACTATTTGTGAAAGCAACTACAGCAATTTATCTTGACACAGCAATCTCTTTTTCTTTTCTGACGTGTATTAAATGAATGACAGACTCCCACGTTGCTCTGGGAGGAGTGGGGGGACAGGATTATGCTTGGACTTCCTGCTCTATTTCTATTAGGGATGAGCACATAATGAAGAGAATTTTTCAGCAGTTCATTAAAATACGTGTAAGGAAAGAAATGTTCAACTTGTGGATTTAATACTTTCCATGTTAATGCAACTCTTACTTGTTAGCGCAGTCTCACACAAAGATGTACGGATACATTACTGGGATTGCAAGCACATTGTCCTTATGTAAGGAGTGAGATATATTGCATCAAATAGCATCTATGCACAGTGATCTAGCTCATGTGGCAGATGTTGTGGTCTGTACTGCTATCAACACTGGTCAGAATTTGAAGCTGCTGAGAGACTTCATCAGTCACCCTTACCTCATTCTTTCCATGTGCCAAAATAAAGAAACATATGAATTCCATGTGCCAGAATAAAGAAACTGGTATGTTTTAAGAGGTGGTTATGTATTTAATGGTTTGTGAGCTACTTAAAAGAAATGGATCAGAGGCCAGTTGGCTTTGCTTTTCCACCATGCCTTTGGTTAGCTGTGTTTATGGTCATCTTTGTTGGTACTGCACACTTGTGCAGTGTTCTTTAGCTGTCTAATATCTAAGATCTTTTGTAGTTCACATACCTTTGCTCCTGGAGCATGCGTTCTTCAGTCAGTGTCTGTGTTGGTTTATTGAACAGGATCACAGCACTTTTCACTCATACTGTTAAAGGGAAAATAGTAGGATCATAGACATTGAGATGGGAGAGTATTATTAAGGTCATCTGGAACATCCCTTGCCAGAAAGCACAAAAGTAGTCTGATCGGGTACAGAAGAATGTTGGTATTTCCTACTATATATGACACTTTCTTATTTCCCCCCTGGTGTGTGTTTGTTTTAATGAGTGGTTTTAATCCTTTTGGTTTTCATCTAATAGTCTTAAAGTGCTTTTGCATACAAACATAGATGACTGAATGCCCAAGACCTAGGGGTTGCCTAAGAAGAATGGTGTGTCACACATTTCCTTCGCCATAGAGACTGGGATTATCAAATAATACAGTTGAACTAAAATCATTCCTGGTGGTGTTAAGGAAACAAACGGGGAGAAGTATAGAAACTTTAGGCCCTAAAGCAGTAAAACAGGTCTTGGCTGCGTGTCTGTCCAGCCAAGGTGGTTAACTAGCTCTTCTCTCCTGCTCGTTTCTTCTTCCTGCTTCATTTACACCTCTCACTGCTAATTTGCTACTCAGCCGAGAAGCTGGGTTGTTGCTCTTGGTACACAGCAACTCTTTCTTTTCACACTTTCTAAATTTTTAGTGACTTGGTGACTATATACTTTCCTCACCGTCTTCTAGCTTCAACGCTCTGAAGTAGTGCCAAAACCAATCAGCATCACCCATAGCCTCAAAGTTCCTTTCCTCTGCTTATTCTTCTTGGTGGGGCTTTAATTTGGGTTTTGTCCAAAAAGCAGTCCACTGGATTTCATGTTCTGCCTGGAATGAATTTGTGAACTATTTGTGATAGCCAGACATAACAGCTCTCTGAGATAGATTAGGGCTGAATTTGTGGCCAGATGTTGATACATCAGCAGGAGCTGACGGTGCACATTTCAGGTCATTGCTGGTGTTCTTGGAAGACTTGGGAGTGATGGTCTTCCCTTCTGGCTGTCCTGTGGGGCTTGAGAACGGGTGGGTGCTTATGGCTGTACTGTGTTTGAGTGCAGAGCCTGCTGGACCTAGAAGTTGGAGATACTTCAGTGCAGGTCCTGAGCTGGGTATAAGGAAACCCATCCTTCGTCTAGAGTTTTGCAGATCCTCTCTTGGATTTCTTCTGCAGCTAAATGTGCCCCCTAAAAAGTAAAAAAAAATCAAAACTGCCCTCCCCCAAAAGAAGGAAAATAGAGTGTAAACCTCTTGAAGCTTGTCATTTAACTGCTGGGAAGTCATGTATACAGAAAGTAAATAATTAAGCTCTTCCTGGTTCCTTTTTCTGGCCTGGGAGAAATGCTGTACTTAGGTCAGCTTAGGAAATTATTTTGGCTTTAGCTGATTGCAGAAAAGTGCTGCAAGACTTGAAGGACTTTCCAAATGCTTACAAATGAAGTAAGAGAAGTAAAATGAGGAAGATTTGTGAGAAAACTGTACAATGGGAAGGACTCCGTTTTTGGAAACTTTTTCATTATTCCAAAAGTAAGATTTACCAAGCAAAGGCATAGATCACCAGTTAACCCACTTTTGCATAACCTAAACTGACTTTTGTTTCTTACTACTGAGGAGATGTATCAATGGAAATCTGTTCAATGAGACTCCCATAGAATTTGCCTCACCAAAATGTGCTTGATCAAAGGAGTTTTACTTGAAGGAGAGAGACCTTTTCAATCCTAGAAATACACTGATCAGTTGCTTTAGCAGTATGAGAAATAGCAGAATCTTTGAACATTCAGCAATTTCTTTGTCCAACTAAACATATTTTTACATCATTTTTATTCCATGCTGTCCTTTGATCATTAATTTTGCAGTGCATGATCATAGATTTAAACATTGTTTCTCTTTTCATCTATTTTCTGTAGTATTTCAACCAGTGCAAACCAAAGAAAAATGAACTTGGAACTTCCGTTGCCCTGACCACAAACATTTTCCACCTTTTTCTTCTTCCCTCACCAAGAGCTGCCATGAAGTCACTTATCAGGCTTTTGTGGCTGTTTTTTCCTTTATGGCTTTTTAATTTCAGTTGAAGTGCAGCTGTGTTTTCATTTTCCTGTTAATATTTCTCCTCTCCTGCTCCCTGAACCATCTTTTTTCATTAAACCAAGTCTGATGACCAACTTCTATGCTATGTTGTGGTGAAATAGTTGGTCATGAAGGTTATGTTTGTTATACTGCCTATAGTTGCATTCTCTGTTCTGGAGACTTTATAATGTTGGGAGTTCTGTTTTAATTTGCTCAGCATGCTTTCACCTTTTCAAACTATTTCTTCTCTAAATGTGGGTAAAGGTTTGCAGACCCTAATATCATTGGAATTTTGCCACTTGAACTATAAGGCTTTTTGAAACAGATATTACTCCCCTTGAAATGCCTGTCTTAAGTACTCCAGTGCATTCAGGTGGACATTTTAATGTTTAATCAAAAATAGTTTTATTTTAAAGTTGCTTTTTCAGTCTTTTGTACTTGGAGATTATGCATAAGCAGTTGGGACTCCTGTTTAAGTCTGAAATTCTGAATTCTGTCACATTGTCACATTCTGTCTGATGAATAGATATTTACTCACGTGAACACACTGATGGGCAATATCTCCCACATTCATTTTCTTTCCCATAGTCTCAGTTCCCTTTTTTTTTCTGTTAATCACACAAATATGCATAAATATGCAATATGTGGTGAACACATTTTGTGTCTTCTTTAAAGCTGTTATAGTGTCATGTTTGTCTATATTTGTGGCCAAATCGTCACCTGTGAACTTCAAAGACATAAATGATTTTGTGTCAAGTAGCTGAGAAGAGGCAGAAAATGGTGAACAGTATAGGGATGTTCGTGAGGTTCAGCATTGTCTGAGCATTCCAGTTACATGCTGCAAATGGTTCTTTTTTTCTTCTTTTTTTTTAAGGCAGTGCAAAGTAGGGCAATAGACAGTATGGTTGTTGGAACTGACCAGGAATATGGTATAAATACTAAGGTATTTTTAATACTTAAAGGGACTCTCGAAACCCCCTGCCCTCTGCCAAGGATGGATGTGCTGAAAGTGGACAGGCTGATGGGAATGTTCATGGGCTGCCAAACATGCTTCTCTTGCAGTGTTTATCTGTCATTTGCAAGACAGCATTAGATTTTTGTATGCCACAATCTCTAGTGCACAAATGAAGTTCCCTCACATAGAGATGAATGCCATCTTTAATTTTAAAGAGTATGTCAACATGGAGCAATGTTGCTTTTGACAGTTTTGTACTCTATGCTTTCTACTTCAGCACAGTAATACTTGTATCTAATCATGTGATTTATGTTTTAAATGTCCATTAGATGTGTGATAAACGTGTGATTAGATGTCCTCTGTAAGACTTCAGCTCATCTGAGCGAATCCCAAACTGAATGGCAAGCACAAGAACATCAGTTGAGTTCTGATAGTTGAAGGCTACAGCATATTGATTTTTCTAAGACAACCCCCAAAGTTTACCAGTTTCTGTGGTTCTAATTAATTAGAATGGAGATACCCAGCAATCTTGTAGATAATCCTCTAAGGTGTTTACATTTTCCTTTCTCCTTCCACATTTGAATATCCCTGACAGTCTTATTTGGAAAAGTTCCTCACAATCAAATAGCTGGTGGTGGATACTACCCTGATTAAAGTTTATTGTTTGTGCATCCCTGGTTGTAAATATACATAGTTCAGTCTTTGCTTAGAGAAGAATGGAAGAGAAATTGGGAAATTTGGGACTGATACCAGAATTTCAGTGCCAAATAGGTGTGGTCGCTCTCATTACAGTCAGCAGAGCTCATGTAACATGTGGAAGAGCCTTTAGAGCTCACAATCAAGAATTTTAAATTGAACTGAATCCCATCCAGACTGTCTGATTGTTACTGAATTTTCTTATATTTTAGCAATAATCACTTTCTTCACATTTTGGATTTCATTCTAGATACTGATGATGATTTTAATGTTAAGTTTCATATACTGCTTAATATTATGTCTGCCTCTTCTGCTAACTTTTGATTATTTCTAACTTTCCTTTCACCGACAGTCAGTTATTCTGACTCTTTACTTTTGTCCTTCATCAATTCATTATGGCTGACTGCAACTGGCTAGGACTTTTTGAGCCAAAAAAAATTATTTGAGTCTTGGGTATCTCCAAGGCGCCA